CAATAAGCCGTTTTTAGCTTCAACAATTCTTCGCAGGTTCTCCTATGCTCATTGACTTTCCGAGCTCCAGACTTATGCTGTTTCTTTTACTTTTAATACCTAGCTTGATCTTGCAAAGCGTCATTGTACGAAACATGGCAACCAGTGAATTTTTCAAATAGATCATTATCCATTATCAATATGTCAGAAATCGATAACTTTCGATAACTTAAAATAATCGATAACTTAAAATTCGGAACTCTTACTTCTGAGATTGAGAAACCTCCCTAATATCGTCCTCTTTCAAAGATTCGGAATGACTGTAATGGATCAGTCTCTACTAGTGAAGACTTATATCAGGGAATTTGATATATTTGGCCATTATGCTTTGGGTCTGTGCGACGATAATGCAGATTTGCACCTTCCTCATATGTACGTTATCTCAATGCATTATCAGTGCCGTAATATATCGATGATGGGAAGAAATGTGACTGATTCACCGTTCAACCCCAATCGATCCCTTTCCATTATGATCACATAATTTTCCTTTATTATTTTAGCGCTTGATTTAAATAACAAATTAACAATGGTTGCAAATACATGGCGGATCAGTCTGTCAAAGGATTATTATTTCTGCCACCAAATAAAGATTGAAAATCGTACATGATTCAATATGCGGAAGGTGATATAATAAACAACGCATTAAATGATCTTTAGTTAGGGACATCTCGTTCCGTCTTCAGAGTACAATACCAAGCTTGATCCAAAACATTAGATGTCCCTAATTAAAGACCATTATATGCGTTGTGTTTCCGTTTGTGACTTACTAAAGATTATATCAAATAAAGATTATCTGAGTTTTACCAGTCGGCTGAAGTCTCTGGAAGTTTCAGCCGAAACCCCTGAAACCCCGTTGTTGCATGCAAGTGAGTGCTGTTTGTCCATGATGTAAATTACAAACATTACTATGTTGTACACGATGAAACCACATTTTTATCTGCCACAGAGTTCTGCCTGCAGGACTGTCATTTAGGAACTCTGAACTTTGTACGTCTGACTTACATCATTAGCTACGTGCTTTTCAAGTGATGCATACATATACTTCACAGTGTACTCACTGCTTTGGCAGTACCTCTGTTCGTACACTGCAGAATTCATTCGTTACGAACACTCCGAAAATCAACTCCTTAACTGCTACAGTTTATTTCCGAAACAGAAAGAACAATGAATTATAGAAATGTGAATCAACGCAGATTGATTAAATTTACATTTTACAGTAGAAAGGCTCATATGTGAGGAAGCACCGCAGAACTCGCAAGAAATGTTAGAAAAAAAATCAAAAATACATCAGGCACCTGTGGCAAAATATTATTCATGATGCATCTTCATGCTTAAGGTACAACGCACGTCAGATTCACGCAAAGCGTATATCTGCATAAATTACACATTGCCATATAATAATACAAAGCTGTCGCAGCACACCAGTAATATCGTAACAAGCAACTGGAAAGCGGCGGCTGTTTAGCGTTCCCTTTCTGCGTTGGAACATCGTTGTACAGAGCATAGCAGGACAAAACTTAAAGAACATCATGGCAACGCACTAAGTAGGAAACACAACATTACACTGATCATCACAGGGAACGACTGTCTGACCCTGACTGCTGAGAAGGCACCACTGAATTTTGGCTTTGGCACGCGGATGCGCGAGTGTTTGGTTTGAAGCATGAAAGAACCCTCATTTGGCACGAGAAACTAAACATCATATAAGCGTGAAGCACAGTGTTCGGCTTGACCATATAGCGTGGACGTTTCCAGAGGCTGACTAGAGGAACAGCGAGCGGACGGAGGTCGTTGTAGTTGTTCCTGGCTATTACATTCGTTGTCTCTGACCATTTAATCGTCCTTTCGACGGTTTCACTCGCCGGCTTCAACACCGGCAGCACTCGCCTTGTTGCCCGGCTGCCTGAGCTTCGTAGACAGGTTCAGGGTACCGTCAGTGCTGTTGTCCAGGGACATGACGGAAATGAGATTTGCCGACGGTGAAATTCTCGGTTCATGTCCGTTGACGAGATCAGGATGAAAAGATGCAAACTGCCGGGTCAGGAAGGGGGCAAGCAGAGCGGGAGGCAGAGCGGGGAGCATGCTCTGAGGTACTGACGGTTTGAACGATCCGTAGAACGCTGTGGCGGCAGCCAACGCCAAAGCCGGGTCAGCAGGGAAAAACTCGGTTCTCAGGCCCATATTTGAAACGTGCGTTAGCGAATTGGGCGGAGTGTGGTCGCGGCTGTTGGACAGCAATTTCCGATGCAAGTTCTGATTGGCCGAATGTCGGTCTCGACTCCGCTTCGACGGAAACGACGCGCTGCAACCCTCTACAGTGCACGTGTGCATCAGTTTCAGGTGTACGTTTTGATAGTGCGTTTTAACGCTAAAGTGGTTCTGGAACACCTTGC